GCGCTCTTCCCCCTCACTCTTCTCTGTTCTTCGTCGGCAGAGGCGTCCCCCGTCAAGGATGTGCCGTCGGTCATTTTGAGTTCTTGTTGTTTTATTTCTACATTTCAACACCTTCACCTACACTATACGTTCACTCACCCACACCTAACACTACTGACTGGACTGATTTTCACATGACATATTTTGGTTTATGTTATAGTAAAATTTATTGTTTACTCTTTGTTAAAAATAAATTACTTTTGTTAAACTTTTAGTAGGCCTGCGGTGTGTCTCCATATTTTGTCACGGTCCATGAGCCAGATCGTGACAGAGGGTACAGTCTTTTCATGCATCTTTATCAAGGGAACCCTTAGACTAATCATTTTAATAACATGGACCAGGTCCCTCACTGCTTAGCCAATGCTAACGTTAGCTAGTTAACATCAGAATATTCAGCGACAGCTTAGGGATTTATACTAGGCTGTAAATAAAAAATCTGGTTCCCATTGAACTGAACTTTGCTCCAAAAATCCTTGCAGCTTTTACTTAGACTTTTTGAAGGTGGGGTTCAAATAAAAATCATGTTTCATTGTTTGATTGCTCAGTTAGATGGTTAAAATATAAATTAGTTGTCAGCTAAATTTATAGGTAGACAATATCTGTCAACTTCAGGTACGAGCCACGCCCACTTCCGGTATAATGCAATTACAATTGTCAGCTTTATTTGTGAAACAGTTGAATTGTTGCATCTCAACTAATAAGCTGTTTAAATGTTGCCAATATTCTCTAAACTATGTGTACTATTAGACTTAACATGCCAACAGGTGAACGAAGAGTACCGGCTTTTTTTTTTTCACTTCAACACATAACACCCCACAATCTCATGCACGACCGGAAGTGGAAATGTTACAGGAGTGCAGAGCTAAATCTGTGGAGTATTCCTTTAACAATACTGACAGACTAAAGAATGAAAGTAAGAACAGAGTTGTACTGAACAAGAATTATCCTTCCAACATCAGACACACAGAGGGAGATGCTCTTGCCCTTAAAGTAATGTCAGCAAACTTGAAAGTTGGCTGTTTAAAGTCTTCTCTCTGAGCAGCAGCTTTAAAGGTGTTTCTCTGTGTAATTCTGCCTCCGTACACTAATCCAGTCTACGAGAGTTAACTGTGGGCTAATGGAGGTCAGAGGAGGTGTAATAGCAGCAGATTGCTCTACACGTCTCGTCTTTTCCTTCCATTCGACGACTTTTAATGTCTCCGGCCTCCGAATGAAGAGCTGCTATCTGATGCCTGGTTGCCAGGTAACCGTGTCATTTTGGACCATTAAAGTTTGGAGACGGCAGAGTTGGTGTTTTCTGTGGGAGCACTTCAGTAAAATGTGTCTCTGTGGGTTTGTTTTAATGTGGTTCTAGTTTTACTTTGTGAGCTTAATTCAGACTTTAATTTCCTTTTAATGTTTTAATCTCCTTTATTGCAAAATGTTTTGAGTCTTTATTGACTCTGGAAACTCACGAGAAGCCAAAGTGTTGTGAGGTTCAAGTTTTATAGAAAAGCATAAATAAATATCCAAATGTTTACAAATAACAACTATGAATACATATTATACTATATCATACTGCAGCCAACCACTCCTGAAACCCACTGTTTTATTGTTTTCTTATTACAATCACTGACTTGTCCTAGATCAGGATGAAACTAATGTTGAATTAGTGTGTGTTGCGACTGGGATGGCTCCAAGTCATGTTAAAATCTTGTTGCAGGTGTGCCCTCTACTGGCTGGCAGCCACGGCTCAGTTTATTAGCAACATTAAAAGCTGTGCCTGCATAAATATAAAGTGCTTTTATTCAAAGCGCTTAACATTTTCTCACACCAAATGGCACCAAACTCTATATATCTCAGGAGAAATTTGGATTTTAGTGTGTTGCCCAACGACACTTGGACAGGAGAAAATGGGGATCAAAGTACTAACCATGTGAAAAGTGGACAACCCGCTAGACCTCCTGGGCCCCAAAGACTGTGTCAGGGTGGGCAGCAGAAGTCTAGACTGTCCCATAAACATGGTTCTTCCTTTAACACAGACAGTGTCCACTGATATACAGATATTTACTATGCAATCAATACCTGTGGATTTACATGCACACCCTTAAGTACTTTCAAATTGCTGCTCAAACATGTTAAATGACGGCGAAGTGGTCGTCCAACATTGGCCAAACAATATACCTCATTTGGTGACTACAAGTCTGTAAAAAGAAAAAAGGCAAACACAGCCAAGCGTTCAGAAAACGTTAGTAAGTGAACCTTGTGTTATTTAGTAATTTTTTTAATTAAAAGTATCATCCAGATTTTATGTAAAAAATTGAGAAGCTAATGATTGAAAGAGAACATTTGTCATGAAGAAGCTTTTATTTTTAAAGAAACATAAAAGCAATAATCAGACAAAAAAGGGTTGAAAATGGTAGAAGTGCAGATGGAGAGGAGAGAGTGAAGATCTGATAATGCTTCCTTTATTGTAACTGAAGTTTGATTATTAGACTGCTCACTAATGATGTATGAGGAACACACACACACACACACACTCATATTCTGATCGATATAGGCATATTAAAGAAGTATCGACTGAGGAAATTAAAGGTTTAATTAATCAGCGAGCGGTTGGCCATGGCTGCTTTTGTGTCGCTGATCGACCCTGAACCAGATTTGTGTACCTGATCAATAACACACAGTGGACCTGCCGTAAAAAATACAGTGGCTTTATGTTGCTATCAATAACACACTGACGACGCTGCTGTCTGCTGGACTGGACTTGAGGTTAAATTAACATCTAATCCAATAATTACACCACATTACATTCAATAATCAATGTACTTTTACTATTAATCAAATACTTACACTGCATGAACTGTTCTAATTATTACAGTCAGTGAACATCAGCTATGCAGATCTGCACTTAGGTGGGCTTCAATTTGACATAAAATTACAATATTTATAAGAGCAATTAGTACAGTTCTAATTAAATAATTCACCTGAATAACTATGAGTATGTGTGTCATATCTAATATTTAATCAGTTAGTTAATGTCTAACACATGCTGATGATTTAGACAAGAATTATTATTTTAGTAGTAGTAGTAGTAGTAGTAGTAGAGCACTTCTTATAATATTTAATATAAGGCAGCGTCTTTCTCTGCCTACCCTCCTGAAGCCAACATGTTTTTTTTAATGACAAAGAAATGGATGTTTGTTGTAGTTCTATTATCTTTTTAGAAAATTCTTGATTTTTCACTTTAAACACAGCATATTCCTTTACATTATAAGGATACATGATGATGTGTACTGATATACAAAACACTCTCCTGTACCGTAGTATCATTGAACTCCTTCCTCCTGCACTGCGCTACCTGCTACTTCATCATGCTCTCTCTCACCAATAGAAACAAGCTCCTTAAAAGCACACTTGCTCTAAAATAATTGGTCTTCCCACTCTCGCAGAGCAAATACCATAATAAAAAATCCCAGGCATCCTTCTACCCCACAGGCCGCAAGTACAGACAGCTACTCTACAAAAAAGTATGCCTTGGGAAATGTTTTGTTCCCTGCACTATAAAAGGGTTAAATTCCCATCATGTGTACTTTCCAATTAATTATATTTTGTTGCAGCTGCCTCTCCTGTGTAATATGTGTAGTATGTGTGTATCTGTGCTGAAGTTTTCTCTTGGTACAGTCTGAAAACAAATTTCCTCCATCGAGGACAATGAATCTGAATCCGTGTACTCGACACCTCGGCCGGTAGTTTATATCGTAAATGATGCTTCACAAATTTGTTGCATTCAAGAATTTTCTTGTGAATGTGGAGCTAGAGGAAATGTGGTTTGTTGGGATTACGTCCATCTCCAGCCTGCAGCATTACAACTCTGCAACATTTACAGTAACAAAAACTTTTCTTTATTTCAAACGAGTCTGTATAACATCACAGTGTGCATGCAGTTCAGTCAACTAACTGTAGTGAACACACACTCTCCATGGTGATCAATAACTGGTAATTAAACGAGACATAAAATAATTAGTCTGCATGAATCTTTAAGTTACACAAGGTCCAACAGTACAGAGTAATATAATAAAATAAATCTAAAAACATGAAATCTAATAACAGGACTCTGGATGTAAAAGCGTCCACAAAAGAAAGTCACTTAACGAAATGAAATATTGATTTTTAAATGTGAAATCTATACTAATACAATGTCATTTTTCTTCATCGCTGAACTTGTGTCAGTTTTTAATTTATCCCCTTGTTCTCTCTCAGCTGATTTACAACACACCCTCACACACACAATGAGTATGTGTAATCAGTGAGGTCATAAAGATTAACGAGGCTTACAGCTGAACGATAAACAGGACAGAGATCACATGACCGACACATGAACAGAGGTAGAACGTAAATAAGTATATTTGCTCGTACATCTCAGAGGGGAAAATTGTACTTTTTACTTCACTACATTTATCTGACAGCTTTAGTTTCTTTAGAGATTAAGATTTTGACACAACACACATGAAACATTTCTAAAATATGTTTTGTTGTAAATCAAACTAGCCAACAGTTTATACAAGTACAGCTGACACGATTAGTCGATTAACTGAGGTCGACAGCAGCAACATCCAGCTTTACTGTAAAGACAAGGAAGAAGAATCTGACGAGAGGAGATATAATAGTACAACATGCACATGGACACTGCTTTAATACTTTAAGCACCTTATACTCAGATACTTTCACGGCAGGAATTTTACTTGGAACAGAGTATTTTCACAATTTGGCATTAGTACTTTTACTGCAGTAACATATCTCAATACTTCCTTCATTACTGCTTATAAATATATCTCACTTCTTACCTGCAGTATACTGTCTCACACACAAAGAGCTTTATAATATAAACAGAGGATATGAAGTAATTAGTACAGAAGGAAAACAAAGTGTGAGCAAATGAGGAAACAAAACTGCAGGAGGTTGGTATGATACAGTTTATTTAAAGAGTACAGTTACAGAAACTGCAGGGGACATGAGGGTTAGAGAAATAAAAGCTTTAGGACAATACATTTTAAGTTGTGTTTATGTTTTATTATTTATATATTATTTATGTTTCGTTAACTACAGGAAGAACGTACAGTAGTTTCAAAAAGAGTTAAAATCTTTGCACTTTGGAAAAGAAGCTTAGACATCAGATAGAATCAGGAAGGTTCAGAAAATCACGTTTGTCCGATCAACGATAAATCAGCAAAAGAATAAAAGAAACCAACGCACGAGCCACTTCCACTGTCTATTTGACTGGATACAATTAATAAAAATAAAGAGTTTATTCATAACTTTACAAAGAAATATATATATGTGAAGCAGAACCAGACATTCAAACCATCCAGAAGTTGAGTGAGATGTGGAAAAGTACAGACGATTACACCGGGGTCACACCATCAGTATATACACAGAATATAAGACCATGTCCTACAGAGAAAAAAGACTTCCCTCTAAGTCTGGTAAAAGTGAAGTGAAAACATGATGTAATGCCATTAAAGCAGAAGATAACCACTCACGTACTCGCACGCCCTACTGTGGTCAAGGCAGTTAGCCTCTTTCAGCCTGTCCGTTTGAGCTCCTCCCCCTCTGACAGCAGTAACTGTTGTCCTGAGTCCACGGTCCGGTTCTGCACTAAGGAGACGCTTTAGGGCCCGTGTCCACCAAAGCGTTTTTCGCCAGCTGAAAACGCCCAGCAGGGAGCGCTATGGGGCGTTTTTTCCGACTGCTTTGGTTGCTATGATGCATAAAATCCCCGGAAGTGATGTTGCAAGTAGTTCTACCTGACTTTACTGGTTGTAAAAAATGTCAACACAGAGCAGAGCACTTGCTCTGGGCCTCTCATAGAGATAGTAACCGTTGCTACGGTGTGGTATTTTTCCCGGCCCTTCTCTGCTGTGATTGGACGACTAAGTAAAAAGTGACAGTGATGAGCGCAGTGTTTTCCCGAAGTTGTACATTTTTGACTCTCAGTGACCGCTGCTGCCGTTTTTACCAGCGTGTAAATACACGGCGCTCCCATTGCAATGAATTGAAAAAAGGAATCAGAAAAACACACTTTGGTGGACACGGGCCCTCAGACTCATTTTCACGCATCACGTTGTTATACGAGCTCTCAGAAACTCCTGCAGGGTAAATTGAACTAACCAAACATGTTTAGGGCTGACTGACAGAAACACTAGAAACTAACCTAACAACAAAGAATAAGAAGAATCTTATAATAAGGGCTTTAAAATAATCAAATACAAGTGATTAAATAATTGACTTTAAGCAATTTCAACCAGTTAAAAGATGAAGGCAGGTAAAGCAAAACACACTAAGGAATATATATACTTATTATACTTCAAATAAAATCATGTAGAATCAGCAAAGGCTCTTAAATAAAAGTGTCTTTTAACCAGCGATTTTAATATTCAGCTGACCTGATTTCCTCGGGTAGACTGCTCTACAAACAACCCATAATGCAACACTTAGTGACACTACATTACAATAGCCTCTTATATTTGGGCCAATAGAACAATAACTCCTCTATCTTCATCATATTTCATTTGAGAGGAGCTAAATATTTTTCATGGATTCTGTCTGTTTCAGATTGTTTTTAACAGTCTAACTTTTCTATTTGGGACAGTTTCAAGCTGGGACTACAGCTTCCATCATGCTTTGGGGGATGCAAGAAGGAAGTGGAATGTTGTTTTTCTTTAATCCTATTTTTGTTGACATTTTGGAAAATTGAATTACAACTTTATGATTAAAACTCATATTTGACTGAGTTATGACTCTCTGCTTATTCAGCAACTCAATATGTGGTCCCAGCTCAAGAAACTCATTTTCAGGAGAATCTGAATCTCTTATATTTTCTCTTTCTCTTCTTGTTTTTCATTGCAACTGTAAGGAACCTCGCAGGTCCGGTAATATACTCAGCATCCTGCCGGTCCAGTCAGGAGGTCTGCGGTCTCTGTGGGAGCGTCCCCGGTCTCCAGAGCTCTGCTGACGTTCTGCCAGAAGACTCCTTTGTGTTGGCCGGCCTGCGGCCAGCTCAGGTAGGTGCGTCCCTTCACCAGCTTCCTCATGCGGTAGTACGGAGACAGCTGCTGGGCCGGGATCTCCTCCAGAAACAGCAGGATCAGAACGTCCTTGTGCTCGTCAAACAGGCGGAAGCTGCAGCAACACAAACAGGACAGACCGTGAGGACTGAATCGGTCTGAGAGGCTGAAAGCTGCCGTCTACTAGTTTAATTTAACGTTTTATTCATTTACTACTTTATCTTCAAAGGAGTTTATTTGACCTCACCGTTGAAATTCTACATAAAATTAGAGCATTCTGTTGGACAACAGAGTTGTTAATTAATTGTGTGTAACAGATCATGATTTACACACCGTTACATACTCACAGACATTGTGTCTTTTATGACAGACAGGCGACTTCATGAACAAAATAATTCATTCTAGCGCTTCATTCATGCTTCTCATGTGTCATGGTTTAACGTTGATACTTAAAGTAATCTAGATCAGCTGTCACATATTCTGATCTGCTCACCCTTTCCCCTACACATATCCACTTTAATTTCTTTTCAAGGAAGACTGAATAATGGAAGGCGGCGCCCCCACCTGGCCATCTGGATCTCTCTGGAGCACCACTCGCTCTGCAGGTAGCGCTGGCTGATCACACAGATGGTCTTCCTGCTGCCATAGATGGCGTCTGTGATGTTGTCCATGATGGGCTTCCCTGTGGAGACAGCAGTTTACACGTCTGTAGCCACCAACTGAACATTTTTTCTGAGACATCTGTTAGCCATTTGCCTTTTCAATAGCTAGTTAGCTGATGCTAAGGCTAGCGTCTCTTCTGACAGCCAGAAGTGATGCAAGATGGCGTGCTGACGTCACACGTTGCTGTAAGCGCTGCCCTAGAAGGCTGTTCGAAAACCAATGTTCACAGAGATGCCTTCACTCGAAAGTTCTGCTTTCTGAGGCAACTGTCCATTACGGTAGAGAGGCAACTGCCTTCTGTTTCAAACACCGCCTAAATCAGTGCAGCTGATTCTGTGCTGCTCTCAGATCTGTTTGTCCTGTAGATCAACTTATTTAATATGCTGCTGAGTCCTGATTTAGTCTTCCCTCCTCTTTGTGTCTTTGTTTGGGGAAATAACCTCTTTAAATGTGACTGTGGCTCCTTTTCACCTTAATAATAATTTATTTAATTTTAATTCAGTGATAAACTCCTGGACTTTAATAGCTCCTGTGTTTCAGCAGATTTTCTGCTCATGTTCAAAACTTTCTGCACATTCAGAATCTCTCCCACAGGTCTGTGTTCTCTGAGATGTCCAGAAAAAAGTCAGAATATTACCAGACTAACGTCATCATTTACTGAGAAGTCTACCTGTCCTTTACTCTGCTGTGGATTACGTTATTGATCCGCTGGTGGTAACATTATCCCTTCAGAGCGTTTGACTGACGCAGTTTGGGACTGCATGTTGCAAGTGAAACTGAAACTAACCGACAACACTTGTGATCAGGCAGAAATCACTCCACAAATCCACACGTTGACTTCAGCAACTCTGATAACGTGCAGCTCACAGTCCCAAACAGAACAAGGTTGTGTTTCTACCAGCTATGTTACCACTCGTCACAGCTGTCTGGACTCACAGAGCGAGTGGGTTCAGTTGATTACTATCAGGGCGTACGCCGGTGTCAATCAGCTGGGCGGAGTTGATTTGCTCTGCGAGTCTTATCAGTTATACATTTGGATTTCACTGCGTAAGAAAATGAATGTGTTTTGACAGTTTATGAAAAATATATATTGCGCGAGACTCGCGAGACAGCTTTATTCCTGTGGAGAAATCTTGTCACAATGTAATCTCGCGTGAGCTCGTGGCACGAGATTTCGTCACATCTCTACTAAATACCCAAACCTTGCTGATCCGATCCCTGTTGTCTTCTGCCTTACGGCTTCAGCTACGGAGCTACTGCGGAGCGCTCCACAGGAGAATGCAAGATGTACATAACGGACACACTGCAGTGGGGTTTGTCCTTAGAACAGGTTGAGGCAGAGTTCACTACAGCTTCTCCAAACCTCAGACAGAGATTGATTTTTAAGGTTGATACTGACTGCTGCTGTCTAAAGTACCATTTTAAATTGGGAAGTACTATGCAAGTAAAATCTACACCACAAGCCACCCCAAAACAAATGAAGCATGTTTGATGAAGCCAGTAGGCCACCAGGCACGTGTCAGTGAATCTGTCACAGTGAGCTGAAAAAAAGAAACGTGAAACCCCTCAGTGGGAAGCAAAGACTGTAAAGATAACAGTGTACTGTATCTGCTCTGCATTCACAACATCTGGCAGGAAAAGATAAGAGGATGATGAAGGGAGGACCAACAAGAGAAATCTACAGCAATAACAACAACAACAATAATACCAAAAGTAGTTTTAAACAATTACCCCCAAATATTGAACGTGGTTTCAAAGCACCATACGGTACCGGTTCTGGTGGTCATCTAAAAGAACCATTAAGTTAGCTGCGCAGCTAAATGAGATAACTAAATGTAAAAAGAAACAAATGGAGTAAAACCAAAAACAAATGGAGTAAAAGTAAACAGTATAAAGGTGAATAAAATGAAAATACTCAAAGTATGAGTCCCTCTAAAATGTTCTTATGTTCAGTCCTTGAGTAAATGTATATTTAGGTAAGTGTTGACATTTCAGTATTTAACCAAGACCAGCATTTTTTTCCAATCTTAACCAAATGCTGTGACAGCCTAAACAGGACCATAAAAGAAGATCATCATTCTTTAGTTTACATTGAATATCAATGTTTCGCAACTTACGAAATAAATTCATTAAAAGCTTTTTATCGCGTTGATGAAACACTATCTCCTACATTTCGAACTAAATATTTGCTGTCACAAATTCGTACTTAATAAAAGAAATCTCTAGGGCTGAACCCCAACCTCCTCCTGAACGGTGTTTTCAGCGTTCTTTATAGAAGATGGAAATTTCAGTATTGTGACAACACAAGTGCAGATTCAACCGTTCTGGCCACATTTAAAGCTGCTGGTGCTGTGTGATACATCAGTTCCAGATTGCAGGCTGGAAGGGAATAATAGAGATTCAGAATCAATCAGAACTTGATCCATTCGGTCGATAACATTTGGAAAGTCTGAAAGAGTCGCACAATTTTCCAAGATGGCGCTGAGTATAGCTGCCTCAGTGTTCAGTGCGCTTTGTTTTGTTTTTCTGTTAATTCAGTTTTCGGCTGTGATTCCCAGAGCTCTTTCACCAGGGAGGAGCTCATGAACATCACGGGAACAACTCCAGCAGATTTAATTCCCACTCTTCTTACGTCATCAGTGGAATTATTGGACATTTAATGATGGCCTCGCTCGCTGTCGTTTGTGCTGTGAAGCGCCGCAGGAGAGGCAAAAGAGCCGGGTCGCTCGTGCGTTTTCTATCGGCGCGGACTCCGCACACTGCTACCGGCAATACTTCTCTCCAGCGTGCGCTCACTGTGCAACAAACTGGACGAACTTCAGCTTCTGGTGGGGAAAAACAGAGACTTTTATTCATCTTCTGTTCTGTGCTTCACGGAGACCTGGCTATCTGAACTGATACTGGACTCTGCACTGCAGCTGGCTGGTTTCCAACTGTACAGAGCGACCGCGACACAGAACTCCCCGGCAAAACAAAAGGTGGAGGTGTCTGTTTTTATATTAACAATGGCTGGTGTACCGACATGACAGTGATTCAGCAGCTCTGTTCTCCTAATCTGGAATATTTTATCATTAACTGTAAACTGTTTTACTCCCCCCGTGAGTTTGCTTCATTCACTCTGGTCGGTGTTTACATCTCACTGCACGCCAACGTTCAGGACGCACAGAGCATGCTGGCCGACCGGATACTATATGTGGAGCAGACAAACCCGGACTCCCTTGTTATTGTTCTCAGTAACTTTAACTGGGGGAATCTCAGCCAAGAACTCCCCAAATACAGACAGTTTATAAAGTGTCCAGCCAGAGAGGGGAATACTTTGGATCACTGCTACACCACAGTTAGCAGTGCCTATCACGCCGTCACAAACGCTCCACTGGGACACTGATCACATGATGGTCCATCTGATTCCTGCTTACAGGCAAAAACTAAAGCTCTGTAAACCTGTAGTGAGGACATCAAAGAAGTGGACTAGTGAAGCTGTTGAGGACCTCTGGCATGTTTGGACTGCACTGACTGGGATGTTTTCAAGAAGGCTACCAACAATCTGGATGAGTTTACAGAGGCTGTTACGTCGTACATCAGCTTCTGTGAGGACAGCTGCATTCCAACACGGACCAGGGTGAGTTATAACAATGACAAACCCTGGTTTATAGCCAATCTCAGACAGCTGAGGTTGGAAAAGGAGGAGGCATTTAGGAGTGGTGACAGGGCCGGGTGTATAAACTATAAACACAAAGTCCCCCACTCCATAAACGATTCTCGCCTGGCAAATGAGCTGAACCAGTTCTATTGCCGCTTTGAGATTCAGACACCATCCCCGTGACTCCTCCGCTCAGCTTCAGACTCAGTCCACCACTTCTTCCCCTCACTCCTCAGAGATGGCCAGCTCCACCCCCTCCCCTCCTCTCTCCATCACAGAGGGGGAAGTCAACGGTCTTTTCAAGAGGCAGAAACCCCACAAAGCAGCTGGGCCATACTCTGTCTCCCCATCCCCCCTGAAGCACTGTGCTGATCAGCTGTCTCCGGGGTTCACAGACATTTTTAACACCTCACTGGAGACATGCCATGTAATATTTTGCACGTTATTGTCACCTGCCCAGGGACTGCAGATGGGAATGACCTTTTAGCTCAGTACAGTACATATATTGTGCATTGTCCCTGTTAACTAAATAAATGAAATGTGCCAGCCTGCTTCAAAGCCTCCACCATCATCCCTGTCCCCAAGAAACCAAGGACCACAAGACAATAATGTGGTTATGTCCTAAATCCTTTGAACGCCTTGTGTTGTCCCACCTAAAATCAACTACAGATCCACTCCTGGACCCCCTGTAGTTCGCCCACTGAACCAACAGGTCTGTAGATAATGCAGTTAACATGGCCCTTCACTACATCCTCCAGCACCTGGACTCCCCAGGAACCAACGCCAGGATCCTGTTTGTGGATTTCAGCTCTGCTTTTAACACCATCATCCCGGCCCTGCTGCAGGACAAGCTCTCTCAGCTGAACGTGCCTGATCCACCTGCAGGTGGATCACTGACTTCCTGACGGACAGGAAGCAGCACGTGAAGCTGGGAAAACATGTCTCTGACTCCAGGACCCTCAGCACCGGTCCCCCTCAAAGATGCGTTCTTTCCCCCCATCTCTTCTCTATATACACCAACAGCTGCACCTCCAGTCACCAGTCTGTCAAGCTCCTGAAGTTTACAGATGACACCACCCTCATTGGGCTCATCTCAGGTGGGAGTTCAGCCATCTGGTGACCTGGTGCAGCCAGAACAGTCTGGAGCTCAACGCTCTGAACTTCAGAAAGAGCACAGCCCCACCCTCCCCCATCATCCTGTGTGACTCCCCAGTCACCACTGTGGAGTCCTTCCGCTTCCTGGGCTGAACATCACCTCCCTCACCAAGAAGGCCCAGCAGAGGATCTACTTCCTGCAGCAGCTGAAGAAGTTCAGCCTGCCAAAGACAATGATGGTGCACTTCTACACCGCCATCATTGAGCCCATCCTCACCTCCTCC